GTACATGAAGCCCTTGTACATGAAGCCTTGTACATGAAGCCTTGTACATGAAGCCGCGTACCGCAGTGATGCTGGGGGTACAGTATTGCGGGTCATGACGGACCCGTCTTCTTGGAGTGGCGCGCAGTCTTCAGCTTGGCCGCCGGGCTGAGCTGTCTATCATTATGTTGTAGCGTAAGTACGGCGATGATCGCTACCCGCAGTCGCCGGCATCGGTTTGCGGCACATATCGAAAGAAGGCTTTGCTTCCATAGGCCCCGTTCTGTTCCTCTGCCTGAGCGGTCTAGAGCGCTGGGACGACGCCTTGTGTCTCTCCTGTATAGCCCGTCGATGATGCGTTGTCGTTGATCATCAACACAATCGTACACCGTACTGTACGACTTACATTCAGTGACAGCCTGTTGCCGCCTACCGCGGCAGATCCCGCAGCGAATCCCTAACCAAGCTCAACTTTCGTCGGATGGCGTAGCTGCACGATATGGCCCATGTCAGAAGCCGCGCCCGATATTCCGATCGGACAGTCGTGTGCTCCATGTATCACCGTGAAATGATAGGAGAATTCCATCCTGAACTCTTGTGGCCATCTGAACGAATACTGCGCCGATGCGTCGAGTGCTGGCACAGTGGCTTCTCGAATCCTCTAGGAAGACGTAGTACTTGATACCAATCTTGCACCAGCACGGCCATATGGCGGAGGGACGATCTGGTCGTGACATTGCACGCGCACACCATTTGCCGTTGCAACTTCCTGGCCAACGGGTATGGAATAGCTCGGGCTGGTCTTTCCATGCCCCATCGTTCGAACGAATCCTGACAAGGTGCACTCTATGCCAGTGACCGGAAGAAGCGGGGCGAATTGGGCTAGTTCGTTGCTGAATTGCCCTTGTGAATTAACCCGGTTCGCCAATGTTAGCGATAGGTAAAACTTGCCAAAGAGGGCTCGGCAAGCCAAAGCCAAAGACGCATACGACACTAGGGCGCAGACGGGCCAAAACACAGGGGTTTTGTCAATGCTGTCACTCGACTTGCTAGCCGATGAGGAAATAGACGAGCGACGGTATGGTGAGGCAGACGTATCCCTCGCTGCTGTGACCGAGACGATAGCGATGGTGCTCGATCTTGTGTACCCACTATATACTGAGGAGTATGGCTATCTCGGCGAAGACGGACGCCAAATTCTTGGCTAGCGAGCGATCTGGAAACGTTGCAAGGTTGATTGATTTGCGAACGACTGCACCTTAGCTTTGGCCTTGGACGTTCCTTCTCGCCGCCCTAAGAATTTTCTCTGGCAACTTCTTGCGTATGCCGTCCTGACTCAAGCCTTGGAACTCCGGACGAAAGAGTATATCCTTGTGTCTGATGGAGCCACCGTCGTCCTGTGCCGAGCAGGACCAGTACCGCAGCTGTCCGCTTCCATCGAGGCATCCGTACACAGCTTGCCGCTGGGCGCCCGAAGATGCTAGCCAGCCGACTTCTGCGTACCGTAGATGCGTAGGCCTTCCATCGGTACTCTTCGGGGTGGTTTTCGTTTCGCTTTCTGCTTCTTGGGCGGTTGTCGTGAGGATTGCTTTTCGTCGTTCGGCTGTAGTCGGGGACGTTGGGGCTGTTCGGGTCGAGCTGCTGCTTTCGGGACTATGAACTTGTCAGCGCCTGTTCGCTATGCGTACACAATACGTACCTGGCCTTGACCATAAGAAGGTCACGTCGTCGTTGGAGTTGTGGCCCATTGGTGATGTCCTCGTCCTTGTGGATGCCGTGGCTCTTGGCAATGCGTTTGTGATAGATGCTGATGCGCCCCACTTACTAGGCCTCGATCCTAGACATATCACATCGTCGTGATGGTTCCCATTTGAACTCACCGCCGTCGTCCTCGTTGCCGATACCATATTCATCGACTGGGTGTCTGTGGTCTGTGGTCCGTGATGCATGCTGATATGAGGCTGCAATGGGGTGCACCACTCGACGGCTGGTGCTTTCGTTGGGATGGTCAGAGAAGCTCGGACCACGTTAGCCATCCACTGCTGGATCAATCAAGGAAGGCGGAATCAAAGTCTCCCTACCTCCATGCGGTCTGCTTTTGCGGCAATTATGTCAGTCTGAGAAACACTTCACTTCACGCTGTTTCTGAGCGGACGACTACCCATAGAGCATCCTTGTAATTGGCCCAAAGTCAATGGCTCCATTGCTTGAAAGTTTGAGCAAAGGATCAGCGTGACGGAGTACCATATTCGCACTGCACAGACGAAGCGCAGCGGCATGGATCCGCCTGCAGTGATGCTGCGTTTAAAGATAAGCCTTAGCCCAAAAAATTCATTCTTCTTAGCTACGCTACGCATATCAATTCAGAGGAACCGGCATACGTCCTTTCCTTTTCTACCAAACGCACGCCCTACCGCTTCAATCTCGGCTGCTTACGGCTTGCGCCCTCGTCTTCGTCATCGTCGTCGTCCCGTCGCCGTTTCGTACGATGATCAGAGGTGCCGAAACACTGCTCGAGCTTTTGGCTCCGCACCAGCTGCTGCACGATAAACGGCGAGCCGCTGATGTCGTGACCCTCATCGGCGGTCTCCCATAGGCAAATGGCGAGCGACTCCTGCAGACTGGCCACGCGAAACTTCACGTCCAGACGGAAATGACCATCTGGGAACGCCGCCGGGTATGACGCAAAATCACAAGCTACCTTATGGCCGCCGACGCGGAAATACGCCTTGCCGCTCGCGAGCTGCCGCATCAACGCCGTCAGGCTCTCGGAGCGAGCGCTCAGCCGGCAACAAATCTGCCCGCGGCAATCGTACCCCCCGTCGGAGAACAGGTACGGACGCGAAGCATGCAGCTCAAAGACGAACAGCTCTGCCCTCGCGCACAATCTCAGACGTCTCAGGGCCGGGAGGCCTTCAAAGGTGCACCCATCATCTTCTTCATCGTCGAAGCTGGACAGGCTGTCCAATGGCGGCTCGGAGCCGTCGAACTCGACATCGAAGCGGAAGAACTCACCGGATCGACCCACCTTCTTCTGTGCGACGACCCGCTGCCAGTCGTTCTTGTCGCGGTTGCGGAACGCTCGCGCCAGGCGGAGGAGGAAGCAGTCCCGCCACCCGCCGCCGGGCGAGCTCGAGGAGGAGCCAGTGCCCATCGAGGCCAGAAGGCTTGGGTGTGGCGCTTCAGGGAAGAGGGAGGCCACCTCTTGCAGCGCGATCGAGGACGGGTTGTTGGCCACTAAGCCGCCGTCCTGGAAGGTGCCGAGGCCGTCAATGGACCAAGGCGTGAAATAGCTATGGCATTGTTAGCGGCGTTTCGCAGCACTCGGCTGTAGTTATTGTTTGCGCCATCCAATTGTAGGATGGCGAAAAGAGAGCGAGACGCAAGAAAAGAAGGGAAAAAGAAGAAAAGAAGAAGAGAAAGCGAAAGAGAAAAAAGAAGAAGAAGATAAAGGCTGGCACGGACTACGGAGCAGCGGTTGCACATCGGACACTGCAAACCGGATTAACCATCTAGTCACCGGAAGCCACAGGCCTCCCGTAGAATCACGCGGGAAAACACAAACATCTCCCACAAAGCCACACGACCCCCATCGGCGGCTGTCTTCAAGAGTTCATAATCTATACAGTCCGTCAGCATCGGCTCGCGCGCTTCGAATGGCCTCGACGGGAACGGAGACAGGGACGGAGACGGGGAGACTACCGCGATCGCCGGCCCGCTGGCCAACTCCGTTGTAGCTGGTGAAGATGCAGGCGCTTGCGTCTTGCACGGTAGCAACCGTCATGCCAACCATGGCACCCATCGTGTCGGCCGCCGAGTAGTCGGTGATGCTTCTCCCGGAGCCGAACATGTCTCGCAGAGCCTTCTCGATGTGCCGCGACGGGTACCTGCTGTCGAATAGAAGCAAGGCTGCGGCACGCACAACTGTGGCAAAGAAGGGGACCCGCATCATCAGTCGTATGAGAGGGCCTATGATGGGAACGGACGGAACCCGGCGAGGCGTGAACGCGTGGTTCGAAAGGGACTCGAAGCGGGCGATGCACTCGTCCACCGTCCACCCGTTGATGCAGAGGGCGCCGGCGCTGATGGCACCTGCCGCGATCGGTCAGCCAGGGGAGTCGCCCCCATCTGCACCTGCAACAACGACAGCATCCCGCGAAATACCTGAGCTCGTCCCGAAGACGACGTCAAAGTTCTGCTGTACCGGATGGCCGGGCAGCCCGATGTCGTCTTCGAGCTGCTTCAACACCTTGAGGGGGTACTTGCCCCGCGTCCCGCCGCCGTCGATACACAAGACCCGCACCGACGCGGTGTCCGGCTTCACACGTATCTGCATGTTAATGTTTGTCCGCAGAGGATACACTCGGCCACTTCGATGAGCCACGGGTCGGCCGCACTTGCGACGCCAAACACCTCGACACAGTTTAGACAGTGACCGTGGCCGCACGCGGGAAAGACCTGCGGAGCGCGCCGCAGACAAAGGTAGCATGTGCTGTTGGACTTGAGCTGGACCCAGTCCTCCGTGAAGGCGGCGACAAGCTGTCGATGCAGCGACGCTGAGGCTTGGCCCGTCGCCAGCTGCCGGAACATACGGGCCATCTGAGCCTCGACCATTTTGGCGAACTGAGACGGCAGGAGGAAGTCGGTGGATCCTTCGTGCGCGAGGACGGCGGTGCCGCAAACGTTGTGGCACACGTCCTTGTAGAACATCTGGAAGACGTCGCGCGGATCGAAGACTGCGGGCCGTCAGTGAGGACCAAAGGTGACGCGTGCCCGTGAACGTACGGTGCATGTTCGGAGGGTACTGGTCCAGTATGAAGCTGGAGGCGATGACGGGCACGGCGAATCTCTTCAGGTCGTCAACGGAGTCGCAGTGCGTGAGGAACCCTGCGAGGTGCGCCGGCAGATCCGCCGCCACCGGGTTGTCGAGCCGGGAGACGGCGAGGAAGTCGAGGGGCGGCGCGCCGGCACCGCCGACGTGCTCTGTGGCGTGGCGGAGAAGGCCGGCGAGGTGGGTGGCCGAGAAGAGGCAGCTGGCGAGCACGCGCTCGACCCGTTTCGTCTCCGTCATGTAGGAAAGCTCATTGCTGAGTATGTCCCAGCGCAGGGAACCAAGGCGGCGTCGCAGGGACTTGGGCGTCTTGTTGGCCAGGCTGATGACGCGAATGCCGTGGAATCGTTCGGACACGTTGGCGCTTGTCCGATTGCGGACGGACTGTAGCAGGCGACTTCGTGTGGAGTCCTCTTCTTCGCCGTTCACGACTACCACTAACCAAGGCCGCACCGACGATGTGGACGGCGTACTCAGATTCAGCCACGACGCCAGACGCTGGGCGACGGCCTCTACGCCGCCGATATCGTCGGCAAAGAAACACACAGCATCAGCAAACGGGAGAAGCATGCGATTATAGACATGATCGCCAGCTTCTACTGTCGTGGGCAGGATCGCGGACGGCATCGCGGACGGCATCGCGGACGGCATCGTGGACGGCATCGCGGACGGCATCGTGGACGTGATGTTCCCACCGTGAGAGATCGACAGTGGCCTTGCTACGACTTCATGGCAAAGCGTAGATTTTCTCGGCCTGCCGAGCCGCTTATGAGGCGGGATGTCGGCATCGGCAATCAGCGTCGGCCTTGCGCCGGACGCGCCGACAGAAGCCACGTTAAGATGGATCTCGCCGTGGCCCCGGGCCGTGTTGGGCGCGGTGATGTACACACCGAGTCTTTGCAGGGCAACCCGCTTGGCCGTGTTTCCAATCAGCACGAGAATACTCGGGTATTGGCCATCCGGGCGTGGCAGACCGTCCAGCAGTCTCTGGGCACGACCCGAGCTTTCGACGACGTACGCCTGGTCTTTGGTGGCCACGCGCAGCCAGCCAGTGTGTTTACAACGGGACATGTTGCGCACTGGATCAGGCACAGCTACACCGGGCAGACGAGGCGTGTGTCTGTCTTATAGGCGGTGGCAGAGAGCAACCTGAAAGCCAAAATGGGCGGGGTGAGTAGACTCTAGGCCCGATACCATGAATAAATCTATGCTCGTCTGCGATCCCTTATCAATGCTCTAAAGTCATTTTCGTCCTATTATTCGTTCAAAGTCAAACTTAGGTCCAGCCAGCTTATACAGAGGGAGCAAATTGTGTACATAGAGTGCAGGAGCCGGTTCAGTAGGCGGGCCAACAGTGTCCGCTCGGGCAGCGGTTCCTTACTCTGTGTCCCACGCCTGCTCCTGGATTACGCTGACACAGCCTTCTCGAAACACTCCAATGGCTGGAAAACTCCTCCATGCCTTTCAGCGGAGACCATCATTTTCGTACTATATGAAATGTACAGCTTTTCGCCGTGTCATGCACGGTAGATATTCTTTCCGTCCTCGGCGCAGGCAGTGGCACTCTATTGTTTGAGGTGGAAAGGGGTGAGATCCATGGCCACAGTCGAGTCTCAACCGCAAGAAAGCAAAGAATATCGAATAGTATGAATGCAAGCAGCAGCAGTTCTCTAAAGTGAACAGCATCCAGTCGATGAAAGATATCTTTAGGGCTCATGTTGAACGTTAATTCTACGTGAGCTGCTGAGACACGGCTTATTTTTCTTCCCATTCCAAGTTAACCTGTTGCTTCACCCACCTGCGGCCTCACCGTACGCTACATGAACTTGGTTGCATAGCCACAAACACCCACACGCGCTCGTACTCTCCGCTTCGGAGTGAGTCTCGCTCTTATATAATACTTCAAATCGACAGCTGACAACTTTTACCTATCTCGATGCCCAGATGATACACAAGGCATCATTAGGAAAAATCGGTGTTCTCCATTCCCATGCCCCTCGACCATGTGACCGGGAACTAGTTTCTCCGTCATGCCGACTTCAAGCTATTCTTCTTCCGTTCCTTCCCCGCACTTTTCCTACCTAAGCCGTGGTCCACTTGTCCACCTTTACCCGATTCAAATTGACGAGCTCCATCTGACTAGTCATGGATTGCTCAATCTGTGATCGTAGCTTTGCACAATCGACCGGTCTTATCCAACACTATCAGGCTAAGCACCGAAATGCCTACTGTGGGCGGTGCGAACGTGTATTCAGCCAACCCAAGGGTCTCCAACAACATCTTTCCAATTCATCTAGTCATCACAGATGCGATGAGTGCCTCTCGAAAACTGACTTTCCGTCCGCAGAGCAATTGCTAGACCATCGAAAGCAGTGCCACCATTACTGCGCGCCCTGCAATAGGTTATTCGCTGCTCAAATCAGCTTGGAACAGCATGAGAACACTGTACACAATGTATGCCGTGATTGCGGCAGGTGTTTCGATTGGCCTGATAATCTGAGAAACGTACGAGATACCAATCCATTAGGTTTCATTAGCTAAATCACTGTCCGAGCAGCACGAACGGATTCATGCGCCCAAGAACATTCCATGCGCAGGGTGTCGAAGCAAGTTCGACCGACATTCGGCTATGGTCCTCCACCTCGAAGCAGGGTCATGCCCGTCGGGAGTTAAGTCCGAAGACGTCGACGACATCGCAAAGGAATGCACACAGTCTCAACACTATGTTTCGACTGATCCTGATTTCGACTACTGTTGTCCTCAGTGTCAAGTTCCCTTTACTTGGATGAGTGGCGTTCTTCAGCACGCAGAAAGCGATGCTTGCGACATAGGCCTAGGAAGACACTCTCAACTAGGAAAGTTCCTACATTTCCTACGTAGCAGGATTTAGAAAAAGGCTAGTGACAATGAAAGACCGTTTTTGTTTTCGTCACCAGCTGAGGTCCAAAGTCACCACCCAAACGCTTTTTCCCTGACCAGCAGTGATCCGTCTACTTGGCCGAGAAGGTCCGCCATTCTGCCAAACCCCAGGTTCAGCGTCGCCGTAGATACATCAAACATAACACGAACCTTTTGTTACGAAGTACTTTAGTAGAAGAGTAGGACATGCTTTTAGCCGTTCGCATAGACCAAAGTCCGGCCTTCGAAAAAGCGTAAATAGTGTAAGCTGCCTCTGTTTTGTCACTTGTTGCTATATACCTGGCACACCACTGCTCAAATGAAAGGCATCTGAACCTTGCTTATCTGCATAAATACAAATTGCAAGGACGGGTGAGAACAGGTAGATGAGATGAGGCATAACCCCGCTTCTGCCGGGAAGAGAGGTATTCCTCAATCAAGCACAACAATCACTCTTTTATCAATGAACCCTAGATGCATTGCATTGAATTGACATCCGTTATCTATTAAATCTTTCTTTCGAATCGCAATCTTTCTTCACGGATCCTGTCGATGGTCGCGCAGCATGTTTCATGTCAGGCCCGATCACAGCTTTAAGGTCGCCTTTTCGGTGATGTGTTTATTCCCAGGCCAGCTTCCCAAAGGTTTTGCCACTCTGCAAACAAGCCACTTTGATCATGAGCCCTGCATTATTTGGTTTTTTGTGATGGAATCGTGCATCGGGCTCCCTGTGCCTAGGCCGTAGATTCCTCAAGATCGGTCTCAGCGGCAGGCAGCAGAGTCCGCGAGGACCGACGTTAGTGGATCGCGAAAGCGTCGTCACTATTATCATGTTCAGCAGCTTTCTGGAGTTGTCTGCCAATTCCTTTTGCCACGGACATATAGAAGACACAGTGATTAGAAGCTAGCATTTGAATATCTCAGCATCCTGCTGATGAGAAGATCGCAATTGCATCTGCGACGTAACGACGATCTGTCGCTTCGGCTAAGTAGTTGTGTACATTGATTCTAAGTCGCACTCAGCGCAGCTAGTCCCCGGTAAACGGAACAGAGATAGCCGTCTTTTGAACTCTGACATTGCACCTGAACACTGTTTGATTGATAGCTGCCTATGCATGACTATGGAGGGGAAAAGCCACTGAGGCTTGGTACCTGGGGAATAATCGGAACCATTTCGCGTCAAACTGGGAGACCGCATGCTCACTGCAGGCTGCTGAACGTGTAAGAAGAAAGGTGTGGTTCTCCGGAGCCTTGCAGTAGTCTGAATGAGTACATCAGCTTTGTCGAGAAGTCACGAGAAGACAAGGCCAAATTTGACCATGATGAAGGATGCTTGGCGTTAAATTGGAAGTCTAGGTGGAAATGGCACCTGAATGACAAGTCGTAGAACACCTAGGTCAAACATGCAACAGATCACATGCCTCTGGATTTAGAGAGGTGGGACATCAGTGTACATGACTGGAGCCAACTCGACTATATCAATGTGCTGGCCGTAACACAATGGTGCCCTACAGGTGGCTTCATCTCCCGTGGAGTAATCGGATTGACTTTTGCCAGGATCGTTCTGTGCTTGGAGATGCCAGGACGTCCATGGCTCAGCTGTCAGGCCTCCCATTGCACAGGCGTTTCCGACGGCGGACCAGAACCCACTCCCATGCTCGTCAACATGGGAGCAAACGCTGTCGGGGCGCATAATGGCAATGTGTCATTCACGTCTGTCCAACAAAGTTGTTGTCGGCCACAGAGGCAGCTGCAGTAGGGCCAGTGGAGGTAGCGCCCACTATCCAGGTTCCAGGCCCATAGCGGATCATGCATGTGCTCCAAGCCATCTTGCGTCGAAGTAATCGGCACCGGCGTTGGATAATCGGTAGAGGTTCCGCTTCCAGGCTCGCTGCTCTCGGGCGACGTGAAGCCGCCGTCAAATGACCAAAACCCACCGTCGCCGCAATCACTTCCGGACACATTTTTCTTCGAGTGATCCTGCAAAGTGGGCGCGCAAGACTGAGCAGGTGATGCGACGCTGACCTTCCATCTGAATGACCCCTCTGCCTTTTTCCTGCGACTCGCTCGGCGATCCGTTCGGGGCTTACGCGTTGGTTGGAATTCCGTCAACCCTGCCTCCGCGAGCTGCCAGAGGGAGCCTTTACGTTCCACTCGTTGGAAGGCCTGTGCGACACAGATTACGACTTAGCAGGAAAAACTAGACCGTCACAACGCTGGCGCAACTCGCTAGCGTACCTTGTTTACGCTCAGGTTCGAACGAACGCTGTTTTTCCATCCTTCGCCTCCCTTGTTGGCTCTCCTGGTGTTTTGCTCAAACCAATGGTAGAGTTCGCCTAGCCCCATTGCCTTTGTTTCTGTGCTGTGGAGTGCGATGTAGATGAGTTTCGCGTACGTCATCTTCTGCTCGCCTTCGTCCAACCGCGTGTCAGCGGTCGGCGATGATTCGATGGCAGTGTCAGGAAGGCGTGGGAAGGCCGGATCCACGCTGAAGCTGTGTTGCGGCGTGCCATTTTGTGCTGGCACTGGTTGCGGCTGGGATTGCTGGCCACGATGACCTGCGCTCTCGTCCTCATGAGATGTACGGTTGTGTGGTGGTCGAGGGGATCGAGGAGACATGCATTCGGAAGGGAGGGGAGACGTGCGAACATGGTCCATCAGATCGAGTTGCTTGCTGCTTGACGATGGGCAAGCCCTGCATTCAGATCAAACAGTCGAAGCGTTCAGCTACACTCGTGAGCGCCAGTGAATCCAACAAAACCACATGTTTGGCAAACGCTTTCATTTCGCGCTCTTATCCGTAAGCCAGGGCCTGGTGTTCTTCCCATTTACAGTCTCCCAGTCGTCGGTGGCATGGCATCCAGCGCCAGAATGAATTCCCCCCAATAGATGGACGCACTTTCTTCGCCGTGCGCCTACTGCGAATCAGTTGCTGTCAGAGACCCATACTGTAAGCAAGAAACCACGAGCTGCTACGGATTTGCACCGCTGAACAGCGCTACGTTCTGCTCCGTCGGCGGTGGGATCCAAGAGTGTATCTCGCCGCCAAAGACCTACCCTTACGTCAGACGAGAGAGTTGGGGCCATCTAGGGCGGAAAGCCGAATGTGAATGTCATTGTACAGGGGGCTCACGGGCCACGCCGCAGCCAGTGGCCGATTGTTGCTTCTACGCTGTTATCGGACGTGTGGTGGAGAAACCCACCCCCTTCCCGGGACCGAGACCGGGCCTCGGCGGGCTCGCCTCCCACAAAGTTGCAGGGGCCCATTCGACTTCCCTACCGGCGGCACTTTTTCAGAAAGAACGGCCACCGTCGTACCGGTAGGCGAACGGCCAAAAACGGCTGCGGCTCCAAGCGTCTGGACCGGCTAGGCGCAACGCAGGACGGGCTCCGCCCGCATTGCCGCGGGAACATGGCGGGCTTTGGGGTTCGTCAATCACCATTCATCCCATCGCACAGCATGCAATCTACGGTCTACATTTCGCGCCGACAGGGCCAGCGTCACGGGCGCCCGAGGAGCACTGACAGTCGCTAGCATCGGGTCGTCTTCAACTTCCCTTTCCACTACTCTGCCGTCTGTCGCTGGTTTGGTGCCAGAATTGCATTGCGGGAAAGAGACCGCCTGGGGGACCACTCACGAAGCAGGGATTGGGGCTGCAGCTCTACGTAATTGAAGGAGAGACGGGCGAAATTCAGGTGTTCACTGCACCAGAAAGCTAGGCGAGATCTCATGGCCCATCGGAAGCACCGCCCACCAAAAGGCCCGGAGGTTTGCACGAAGAAAACATCATCACAACATAAGGCCTCGGCGGCAATGCGGCCTCAAACTGTAGCTGGAGTTTGGCACCCTGCTCGACGTAATTTCTGGAACATG